TAAAAAGTGATATTTTCGATGTCTTGTTAAAAACCGCAAGTCCAATTACTTTGATATTACATATATAGGTACTACATGTGGACCTCTCTCAGATTTGTCCATTTTGTGATGACATCTTTAATTCCCTAATTTTGGTGAATATTTTTGTCATTTTTGGTAAAAAGTGATATTTTCGACTTCTTGTTAAAAACTGCAAGTCCAATTGCTTTGATATGACATATATGGGTACTACATGTGGACCTCTCTCAGATTTGTTCATTTTGTAATGATATCTTTAATTCTCTAATTTTGGTGAATATTTTTGTCATTTTTGGTAAAAAGGGATATTTTCGACATCTTGTTAAAATTCGCATACCCAATTGCTTTGATATTACATATATAGGTACTACATGAGAACCTCTTTCAGATTTGTTAATTTCGTGGTGATATCTTCAATTATCTAATACTATACATATTGTTCATTTTCTTATGATATTTTGTGTTCTTTAATTGTAATGTACATTGCTAACAGCGGAGCTATCTCAGCCGACAGGCTGCTTGTTATAAAACCTGATGGATTCTGCATAGTTTAAAGCCGGTGTTCACTGCAAAAGCACAGAGATTTAAATATTTGTTCAAACACACACAATGAGACCTAAACGATACCAAATTGTCTGAAATTGTAACATATTCCACTTATCTAAAGGGGGATAAACAATTGGTTATAAAGCAGTGATATTAGAAAATCTCTCATTTGTACACGTATGTTGAAATATACTACCAGAATGTAATTTTCCACGTCACAGTGAAAATTGAATATTCTTTGCCATTCTCTAAATTCGGCAATTCGAAAACAGAACCCAAATTTACACGTTCAAAAATCCACACGGGCGATGATGGACAAAGATGCCAAGTTACAAATTGTGTATGTTTAGTTCTGAGCATTTATTGAAAAGACTGAACTACACTGGTTTTCATGAAGACATGAATTTATGGGTATTTATCAATATTTATGAAACATTTAATCCAAAAATTCTCATGTAAATTTAGATCCAAATAAGATGCTTTCATTGGCTGTAGGAAACATTTGGTAACTCATATTACCCATAAGTCTTTACAGGGTTTCTTAAATCATTGGTCGATTTACTGTCATCAACGCAAAAGATAGATTTTATTTTGTTTAAAACTCTTGAAATTACATTGAAAGCGAGTCAGTGTAAATAAAAGGTTAAAAGACGGTAGTCGTCGCGCCACGCATGCGCGAGATATATGTGTCTTGTATAAACAAAAATGGCTTTGATTGTTGCGCAGATCAACGAGTACAAACTGAGACGTTACCAAGCTTTAATTAGACATTTTCAGGTGATTAGAAGGTATCGGTGGTAATTAGTGCAAGTCGCGCCCGGGTCAAACCTCAGACTTGTGATTTCAATTAGAAGAGCAGATTGGATTGTGGGAAAATCAATCTTTCTCAACACTAATGTCGCACATGCACAGCGTGGCGACTACCGCCCTTTGAAGGTAAATTGACTGCAGTGCAGTTCTGTATGGGTGGTATTCATCTCCTAAGTCTTGGAATTGGTCAAGTTGTTTTTAATTTGAAATTTATTAACATTCATAAATATTTTATATAAAACAAAATCACGCCTTCATGAAACCCAGTATATTGACATGCATTTATTTTCAAGTTGTAACGCTATTATTATGAGTATGTATTTTCACAAACACTCTAACCCGGGACTGTTCTAACAGTGTTATGGAAGTTATGGGGAGAACGTGAATGGTGAGACTCGGTGATTGTTCCCTCACCAATGGAGTTTGATGCAAAATATACGTTTTGGTGAAGTGACAAACTTTCTGAATTATATTACTGTGTCTTAGTTTCATGCGCCTATGGCATGTAAATAAAAGAAAAACCGGTCGAAGTGTTGTCATACTTTAGTGTGTCTCGTCGCACTATCAAAAAAGACACAATCTCCAGTCAAAATTTAACCAACTTTAAATTACCAACCGTGATCAACAGGTTTCACCAAGTCGTCAACAGAGGGCGTTGTGCAGTGGCGAAAGGAGCGAAAAAAAAGAGATCGACCTGCATTTTTTTCACACTGACTAGAAACAAGTATACGTTTTTTAAGCCTCATACAGAAAAATCACCTGAGTGAAAACATCTCATTTCCATGTGAGCAAGGAAAGAAATTATATATTACATAACATCTTTTTTTGTGTAGTTCAGGCAAGTTTTTGCACTAAACTTGTTGAAAACAGACAGACAACCCGACCTCGGCACACTCGTGGATTTGTTATTCAACATTTAAAGTTGTGACAATGTTACACACAGTATTGTACAGCTGAATACACCAAGTTTGCTTACAGTGAAAACAAATATCGCTATCAGTCGCGTGGCATGTCCCCGTGTTCTACATCATGTTGCTTTTATATATATTCGTTACATGATGATTCTCACCTGTTTTTCGTGTTCGAAAAGTGTGCTATGGTGTTACTACGTGTGGGTAGAATTATATCTAACTTGGTAATATATGATCGTGAATTTCACTCATTTCAGATATAACAGGTTCATATAACATGGGACATATAATCGAAAAAGAGTCAATGCGTCTCGGGAGAAACATTCTTACGTCAGTTCTCCAAGTCTTATGTTATAGCGTTAGGCCTGCACACAGCAAAACAAATTGCCTCATTATCAGCGGCATTTAATTCATTTCACATATATAAAGTAATTGTCATTGACTTATTTTGCACAAACGTGGCCACCCGACAACGAACTGGAAAATAAACCCCTCTACAAGATGGCGTAGTGGTTAGGAACTGGTAATGGCTGCGTAACATCACCGCTCACATGAGATGAGATTGCAATCAAGGAAGCGTGGTACATGTATATTGGCTGGCATGTCGTAAGTGAACGGTGCTTCAGTCATGCGCTGATATACTTACAACTTGAACCAGACTGTATGATATCAGACCCGT